AGAATTTACAATCATTTCCCTCCCCTTCCATTCCAACGACTAATCTTCAAAACCTTTCTCTCCTCTTCCCTTCAAACTCCCAAACATACCTTAAAGGTATGTTTGAGAGTTGGATTTTGGAGGGGAGGAGAAGATTGATACGGATTTATAACCCCCCTTCCATGTTTGAGAGTTTAAAAATATGGAAGAGATGGTTTTGGAAGGCTTTTGTAACACTCCAAAACCTTCCAAATACTCAATTTTCAAATTTCTTCAAATTGGGGGATTTTGAAGGATAACAAATTGAATAACAACAGGGGGATAGTCTACCCGGGGGGTGTCTTATTCGAGGGGTTATTACGGAATAACCTAGAGAGAAGTCAGAGCAAGCAAGTAGGAGAGAGAGGAGATTATTATTTATGAACTCGAGATGTTCTGGTCCTTTACAACGGGAAAAGGGGGTGCTATTTATAGTAGTAATAAATGCGATGAAGGTACACGTGTCAACAATCTGACGGTCGAGGGGTCACCTCAATTGGGTGGCACTGGTATTCGCATGTGCACCGCATTGAATGCGGTGGGTGGATGTGACGTCGCATTAAATGCGGTGGTTGCTTGTCTCCAAAGGGAATCTTCGATGATTGAGCTGTTGGCCGAAGGCTCTCCCCGCAGCCGAGGGCTCTGTGTAGCCGAAGGCTTCCCTGATGCCGAGGGCACCTTCATGGCCGAAAGCTACCTTCATGACTGAAGGCTACCCTCATGGCCGAAGGCCACCCTCATGGCCGAAGGCTACCCTCATGGCCGAAGGCTGCCCTCATGGCCGAAGGCTACCCTCATGGCCGAAGGCCTTGTGTAGCCAAAGGCTACCCTCATGTCGAGGGCTCTCCTATGGCCGAAGGGTCCCGATTTCTGCAGTTTTCTCGCTGTAGCTTTGTATGCTCAAATCTGGCTGTCATGTGAGATTTGGAGCCCTCGGCCAAGGAGGCCGAAGGCACCCATGTGTGCACCGTGGGTTTCTTTAAGCTTGGGCCGCTGTGTTCGGACCTTGTGTGCTCATTGGGCTCATTTGGGCCTGTGTAGGAGAAGTGGGAGTCTGTAGACCGGGGGTCCCTGGGCCATATACTCCATCAACAACTTTAGCTCAATTTTAAATAAATATAAATTCAATTAATTGAATTGCTCATATGTGTGATGTGATTTTAATTATACATCATTATAACTTCTATCTTTTCAAATATGTTAATCTCAAACAAGAACGACAGTTTTATCCCCTTCCCTTCTAATGACTAACCTTCAAGTTTTTTCCCTCCCATTCTCTTCAAACTCCCAAACATACCCATAGGGCCTGGCTTGATCTATCAAAAAGTTTTGGCATTTATGCTAGGTAATTTGACTTGATAAATTTGAAAGTGTGTCGGTGCGCGCGCTTGTGTGGGCACATGTGTATCTACACATATACATACTGTTGAGGTTTATTCCTTCAACTCCAAAGGCCCAACACCTTCCTTTGGGGTTCGAATGGAATATGTGATGGATTAAGTGGAAATAAAACATGGTGCAAGCAAGTGGATGAAGAACAAGAGAAAAGAGTGATAAGTGGGCGGTGTCTTATTTGATAATAATAAGAGTATCACAACACACTTCACTACGAGCCCACTAGGCCGATCGTCTAACTCTGCTAACATGAGGGGAATAATTGCTATTGCTAGAGAGTGTAAGTTGTCAACACTTTCCAATGAAATAAATGCTACAGTACTATTTATATTATCAAGGGGTAGGTAATGGGCCACTCCAATATCAGGCCCATTAACCCAATACATACATATCAGTGTGGGGTTAGCGTGGTTTAGATCTCATAATCTCATGGGAAACGAGAAAGTTACATGTTTGGTTAATATGAACATTTTCATGCGTTTAATAGTACAATTTATGCAGTAAAGGAAAAACTCGGTTTTATTTACAAAAAAACTATTTTTATTTATATCAAATGTATTGATTCCTCAGTTTCAGTTTTTATTTTTGTGATCTTACCATATTATGCATTACATTCATTTGCTTTTCTTACATTCAATCAACTTTTTATTTGAAATAAAATTTGTTGACCCATTGGTACCACCTATGTTGCATGAACACAAACAAGAAGATATGGAGACAGTCAACAAAGGATACAACAAAATGTCACATCATTGAAACATCGGATACTGACATTGGAATATAATTATAGATATTGAAAATATATGAACTCATTTGATAGTTTATGCATATATAATAGGATCACGATTCTCTGCCATAAGGCAAAGTGCCTTGCGGCATCCGACGACAGGGAAGCGACGAGGACGACCTCGAGATCGGCAAAGGGGTGGAGGCCGTGGAGCCCAAGATCTCCGGCCGTCGAATTTTTTATCGAGCGGTCCGGAAGAGCCAGGCACCCCCTGCCTTGCTTTGCAGAGGCTCCGGATCCTATGTACAAGGATACTTTACATGCATGCATGTATGTAATGCAAAAATGTTGTCATTAAACATTTTTATTTTGAAGTAATATATGGAGTATTATATAATGTTAAAATTAGAAGTACCAAATAGTAATTAAGTACGCAAATATACTAAACAATTGAAAATTGTAACAAATTATTAAATATTTACCACATGGAAAATTCATATTTTAATGCCCAATGCATTCAAACGAAAATAACTAATAATGTCCAAATAAAATGATTCTCAATGGTTTACATTTTCATATTCCTAGAAAAGCATCAATAATTATTTGTTTAGTGCAATAATACATTTAAATATCCTTTTTAAATTTGGGATTCGGCTTCGTTTTTACAATTTTAATTATGGATTAGTTGGTAGCACCAGATAGATACACATTTCTTTGTAAACACGGGTATCTTAGTTTAGATAAATTGTGACATGGCCTAAAAAAGGATTGATATGTAATTTTAGGTGTGTCGGATTTGACACGGATAGTTGGATGGGACACATAACACATCTAAAATCACGTGTGTTCGTGCACTAGATGAGACACATAACACGTCTAAAATCATGTGTGTACGTGCACCGGATGGGACACATAACACGTCTAAAATCATGTGTGTCCGTGCATCATAGACTTGTGCGACATAAACAATAGATGGAGCTAATGATTTAGCATTTATCTTCGATCAAATCGGTTGTTTTTGTCCACTCGGAGCAATCCATAAAAAAGAGAGCAAAGAGAGAGAAAATATCAACCATTCACAATTTGACACAAATGTGCGACTTCCACTTTGCTCTATCAAAAGTCATAATCTCATCCAACCCAATAAACCACATATGGTTCTGATTCTTCTAATCCAAGTCTGTCTGGATCTTCGTCTCTTTCTCTCCTCCCTACCCCTCAAGTCGTCTAACAAGTGCACATGACCAAATGACCACAATCAAGACTCTTGGATCTTATCTTTTATAGGTTCTACTTCCACCTTTTGTTTGATTAACTCATTCCTCAAATAGTATTTTTTTGCCACACTTATATTTTAAATGTGACATTGGTTCACCGTCCAGTACGTCATACATTAATGCAATCTTAATTGCGGTTCGATATAATTTACCCTTTAGTCTAGTCGGCATGCATCGAGCGCATAGAAATCCTGATAAAATCTTCTTTTTTATCCACTCTGCTCATGCTAAGTTATACTACATATGTTCCATAGCTAAATTTAAAACTTTGACCAATTATATATATTTATTGGAAATTATTTATAACATAAAAATAATATGAAAATGTTCCTTGTAAAAGTTACTTTCATAAAAGTATAAAATTTATAACTTTCATATTACGTAGTATTATACTATAACTTTCATATGAAAATGTTCCTTGTAAGTATTTTAGATCGAAGGTAATAAAACATAATTAATTTAAAACACGCCGCTTTTGCTAAGTTATTTCTTTCGAGCCCTTTCTCAACCCATTGATTTCGAATTTTTCTTTGAGGAGTGAATGAAAATTTTAAAGAATTCATCACGACTACAATACATCTATGAAGCAGGGATACTTTGCTTAGGTGTCGTGTCGGCGTATCGGAAACGTTCTCGTACCCGATACTCTAAGATACCCGTACCGTATGTTCCCGGGCCGTATCTGCAATTTTTTAAAATTTCCATTTTTTTGGTAATTATTTTAAAATTTTGGATACTCGTATCCTGACCGATACCCGTATTAATTTTTTTTTAAATCTTCCAAAACAAAACCTTTAAAAAAACACTCAAAATTTATATAATAAAATTCTTAAAAAATGAAAAGCTAAAAATAATGTTTACCTTGCTTTTATGTGGTACACAACTAATGGACTTATTCCTAATTCATTCATCCTCTTATCCCTAATTCTAATTGTCCCTGGAAATGAATAGCTCTAACGGAAATATGTATTAGAACTTTTAAAATATTGTTTTCTATCTTCATTATTCTAGAACTTTGAGTACTTGCACTTTTAATTTCAAAGGTTGTTTGACTTATTTTTCATTTTAGATTAATGATTTATTGACTATATTTATATTTCAAAGTGCACTAGTGTATATGAGATAAAATAAGAACTTATTTCTAAGTACCTTGAAAATGTAAAATGCTTTAATGGCATGAATGAGTAGACATCATAGGATAATATGTCAATTGTTTTCAAAAAAATTGTATTTTAATATTTATAAATACACCTCTATAACTTTTAATATTTATAAATACACCACCATAACTTTTAATATTTATAAATATGGCCTCATATCCGTATCTTACTTTTTTTTTTACTTTGTCATATCCCCATACCCGTTTCCGCGTACCCGTATCGGTGCTACATAGCAATACATTGGTTTTGTTAAAAATTTTTACACATTTCACAATTTTTTTATACAGAGTACTAAAAAGTACGGAGTAAAAACCTTTGCTCAGTTTGGTACATGGGTAGCCTTTTGATTTGCAAACTTTTTCAGGCTATTTTGTAATTTTCAAATGTTCCTCTCCGAAAACCCTAATCTCCCTCGTTTCGTAGGATATAACAAGCTCAGCCGCACACCCCATTACCCTCCCACCTTGGCCACAGAAGGTTTTTCAGCGGAGCTCAGCCATGGTAATCTTTCTCTAGCGAACTCTCTCAATTGTATGGATTGATGGATACGCATATCATTTTTCATATGCAAGCCTCTTCAAAATTCGTTCTTGTAGGGTATCGATCTGGAAGCAGGAGGAAAGAGCAAGAAGACCAAGCGGACGGCGCCGAAATCCGATGATGTTTACTTGAAGCTTCTTGTCAAGGTTTGGTTCGGTGTTACCCTCATTGTGGTTGTCCGCAAGTTTCTGCAAATGTACGTTTTATTCATCTGAATCAATGAGTGATTTGTTGATGTACTGCAGCTCTACCGATTTTTGGTGCGAAGAACAGGTAGCAAGTTCAATGCCGTGATTCTGAAGCGCCTCTTCATGAGCAAGATAAACAAGCCTCCACTGTCCCTCTCCAGGCTGATCTCTTTCATGTCGGGAAAGGTGTGTACTTTCACTGTCTTTGGGACTTTATGGCCTTTGTATAGTTATGCTCTTGCATGCCATAGGCCCATAGCCCATATGTTTTCCCCTATCTAGTTCTGTTTGTTGATTTTGTTTTCCTTTTGGATGAGTATCTGTAGGAAGGTAAGATTGCTGTTTTGGTGGGCACCATTACAGATGATATCAGGGCCTATGAAGTCCCAGCTATCAAAGTTTGTGCATTGAGGTTCACCAAAACTGCAAGGGCAAGGATTGAGAAAGCTGGCGGAGAATGCCTGACATTTGACCAATTGGCTCTGAGGGCTCCATTGGGGCAGAACACGGTAAGGACTCAGATGCCATTAATGGGCGAACATTTCCTTTATATTTTGTGCTAACTTTGCAACCATTATTCTCATGTATTATGCCACTGGGTAATAACTGTTTTCAAATGAAGATGTTATTAGCAAAAATGTTAAAGTAGATGAGATTAAGTGTGCACTTGGTCGATAGTTTACTTTAGACACCTGATGTGCATTAATTTACCTATTTTATTTGCGTAGCCCTTAAGATCGCCTTCCACATGCTTAATGGAAGCGTTTTGAGTCATAGCTACGCTACATCAAATTCATCATATACCATCTCCCACATTATAAAAAGGTTCAAATCTTTTTACTTGTGGTTGTGGTGTATATGAGATTCTCTGTAGGGTTTTCCTATTGAGGATCTCTACCCTCCCTCTCTTTAGTGTTAGTCATTGTGCTTATTTAGATCTATTTCTCCTTGTGGGATTGTGGACAAATAATTGTATTCATAATGACATTGAAGGGGGATACATTCAATTATAAATGCATTTACTTGTTTTGTGTTTTGTTTATTTTTCATTTCGGAGGAGAGCATAATCTATTTGGGATTAAGGCTTTGAGGTTGTCGGAGAGAATAATATAGTTATGATATAACATGATACTTCTGAAAATGAATTAAAGGTAATTGAAATGTTATTTAATGCTAATTTTCTAAGTCTCCATGGTTACAAAATATGTGTTAACCCTTCCAAGACCTGTGCGCCAAAGTTTTTGTTGCTGTTTGTGGCATGGATGATGAGGTAATTAGATGTGTGAGGGGTGTTCACCTCTTTGAGCTCACTTTACAAGGCTTATTGATATTCTGACCTGCCATCTTCCAACAAGCTATTACAACTGTTTCTTTACATTAAAGTTCCTCTCCGGTTCAGTTGATATTTTCAAACCCTTTTTTGTTTTTGGCCTTCCATGAATTTAAGTTTAGCTAGGGATACCAGTTCATTGTAATTGCTTAATCTGATGTTTTATCTAATTATCATTGTGTTTGGTTTGCAGCTTCTACTCAGAGGTCCAAAGAACTCACGTGAAGCAGTAAAACACTTTGGTCCTGCTCCTGGTGTTCCTCACAGTCACACCAAGCCATATGTGCGTGCTAAGGGAAGAAAGTTTGAGAGGGCTAGGGGTAAAAGAAACAGCAGGGGATACAAGGCTTAGTTTTTTTCATTATATTGTTATCAATATTATCAAGTTGTCTTCTTTTGTATCTTTGAATCAAATTTTGCAAAAAGACTTGAGTTTGTTGCTACCAGTTCCTGCTTTTGTTGTTACTGTGTTTATTTTACTACATAAGTGGTAGGTCCTTTGCTGTGGCTTTGCATCAATTTTTTTTTTATCGATCGTTAGTTGTCTTCGAAAACAAAGATATTTCCATTTAATGTTTTTCTCTATATGTTGATTTGTTAGTGTATGGCGTATGCCTGACTGGTGCCATTTTTTATTTATTGTTTTAACTATTTTTTTGTTCTGTGGTCAAGGGCCCATCATTGATCAAGAAAATGTACTCTCATTGTTTCCCATCCAATGTTATAGAGTCTGTCCCCAGATTTTTGTTTGTGCTTTTTTGCTTTTAATTAGCTAAGCAAATGTTTTGAACGTTTGCTTTAAGAATTTTATTATGTGTTGGTAGTTATATTCCATTATTTCTATTAGGTTCGAGTTTATGTGTTGTAGACTATAGTTATAATACGATTATTTTACCCTATGGCGTAAACTTGTTTTAGATTGTGTGACGTTAGTTTTCCTAATTTGAGTGGAGAACGTATGAAAAAACGTTAATACCATACATCTCCCACAATTTCAGGATCCATTCAAATTAAGGAGTTCGTCTAAATTTAATTCATTAATTTCTTCTCCTTACACCAAGCCTCTAAAACATTTTAATTTTCAACAAAATGCTATAAAGCTTCTTGACCACCGTGCAAGTGTTTTTTCCCACGGCATTCAAGAGGAGAGGGTCAACCTTACCGTCCTGGCCTTCTCCGTTGAGGCTTAAGAAAACCAATTGTTAGGAAGCTTTAAAGATGGAGGAGAATAAAAAGGGCAGGAACATAGCTGTCCTTGCGGTGAGTTCTTTGGTGTTGGTAGCTATGGTGGTAGCTATTACCATTGGAAGCCAGGAATCAGAAGCCGAAAATGAGGGTCAAGATAGTATTGTTGCCTCCCGGAAAGCCATTGAAGCCGTGTGCCATCCTACCACCTATAAAGAAACATGTGTCAAAAGTTTATCCTCTTCAAATGCAACGCATTCAACGGACCCTAGAGATCTTATTCAAGTAGCATTCAATGTCACGATCAATGACATTCGTGCTTCCATAAAAAACTCAAGCCTATTCCTAAATCTAAAGGATGACCCGAGATCAAAGTTGGCATTAGAGAATTGTGAGGATTTGGCTAATCAGGCGATAGAGGATCTTCGAAGGACTCTCTCAAAGTTTAAAGACTTCGACTTGATGGATTTAGACAATTGGCTAGATGACCTCAAGACTTGGCTAAGTGGTTCCCTCACGTACCAAGAAACGTGCTTGAGCGGCTTCCAAGAAATCCCGGGGAATGAAGAGAAACGTATGAGGGAACTTCTAACCAAATCCATGGAAATGACCAGCAATGCACTCGCTATGGTCACCGAAATCTCTTCCCTTTTCACTGATGCCGAAGCCGGACCTACCAATAGCGAGGCGAGTAAACGCCGTCTTCTCTCATATAATAGAGAAAACCTCCCAGGTTGGATCAACTCAGGAAGGCGTAGGCTTCTCACTGCCAGTCTCGATGAGGTGAAACCGAATCTCATCGTCGCCAAGGATGGATCCGGTAATTACACGAGCATCAATGATGCCTTGAAAAATGTTCCTACCAAAAGTGACCAAACATTTGTTCTATACATCAAGGAGGGTGTTTATGAAGAGCAGGTTACCATTTATCGCAACATCACTCACCTCACTATGATAGGCGACGGTTCAAACAAGACAAAAATTACAGGATGGTTAAATTTCATCGATGGAATTTCCACCTATCACACTGCAACTGTTGGTGAGTAAATGAGCATGCTATTCACTTCAATCTTCTTGGATTACAAATATGTTTAGAGTAAAACTAATTCCTTACATTTAGATATAAAGACTTTATAGCAACAGTTGAATTATGTAACATACATTGGCATTTTTGAGAATGCAGCTGTTCTTGGAGATTATTTTATGGCTAGGGACATCGGATTTGAGAACTCCGCTGGGCCGGAAAAGCACCAGGCCGTGGCTCTGAGGGTGGGAGCAGATAAATCCATCTTCTACAACTGCAAGATGGACGGCTACCAAGACACCCTCTATGCCCACACCTACCGCCAGTTCTACCGGAACTGCGAAATCTCCGGCACAATTGATTTCATCTTCGGTGACAGCGCCGCCGTGCTTCAGAACTGCACCATTGTGGTCCGGAAGCCATTGGACAATCAGCAGAACATTGTAACGGCCCAGGGCCGAAAAGACCCGCACCAGCCCACGGGGCTGGTTCTGCAGAACTGCACCATTGTGGCCGACCCGGCTTATTTCCCCGTCCGGTTCACCCTGAAATCGTACCTCGGCCGGCCATGGAAGGAGTACTCCAGAACCGTCATAATGGAATCGTACATCCCCGATTTCATCCAGCCGGAGGGATGGTTGCCGTGGGCGGAGGATTTCGGGCTTGAAACCCTATTCTACACAGAGTTCAATAACAGGGGACCCGGAGCTTCAAAAGAGAACCGGGTCGATTGGGCCGGAATCAAGGAGCTTCCCAAGAGCCAAATCAAACGGTTCACAGCCGGGAAATTCATCACCGGGAATAGCTGGATTCGCGAATCCGGCGTTCCTTATAATCACGGCCTGATTTACACGGCGCCGAAGAAAGACAAATCGGTGAAATACTCGCACGTAGACGATGACGATTTCAAGGATATGGGATCTCACGATAAGGATGATTATGTAGCTCGCCGCCCCACTCAATCTTCTATCAGTCTTCCTCCGTCCTCGGCACCAACTCCGGCGCCTACTCCGGCCCCTGAAGCTGCTGCAAATCTCGATTACGAAACTATTGTAGAAGCGCCAATTCCGATGAATGCTTGGATTTAAGGGCTAACCTCCCGCGTCCCACCGGCTAATGAAGAATTCGAGCTGAACAGATTCTTTTAAACCGCTTTTATTCTTATGAAACAGGGACAAGATTCGGCTTCTCCATTTCTAGCAGGCAATTTGTGTACTTGTTAATATCGTTATTTTTTTACTGTATGTTATATAATTCGTTATTATTCAATTAAATTAGAATTTTATACTTTTATGGTTATAAAAGGGAAAAGGTGCAAATAGGCCCATGTACTAATAAAAAAAAGTTAAACAAGCCCTTACTTAGGAGGTTCTGTCCGGCCGTCGTCATTTGGGGTGGTTCCCAGTGGAATTTTTTGATGAAATTTTTTGAGCATCTTATTCATCAAATCTAGTTTACTTATATCAAATTTCAGCTAAAACTTCAATCGGGAAAACATTCAAATGAATTCTTGAAGATAACTGCGTTTCTAAGTGTGCAGTTATTTTCAAGAATTCATTTGAATGCCTTCTCGATTGAAGTTTTAGCTGAAATTTTGTATGAGTAAACTAGATTTAATGAATAAGATGTTCAAAAAATTTCATCAAAAAATTCCACCGGGAACCACCCCAAATGGCGATTGCCGGACAAAGGCTCCTAAATAAGGGCTTATTTGACCTTTTTTGGTTAGTACATGGGCCTATTTGCATCTTTTCCCGCTATAAAACAACATTATTTAGAATATTGTCGTTTTAGAACATTCCGACGATCACACAGAGTTTAAAGAAATGCCATTTGTACACAACTATTTTTACATAATATTTACACACCGATCAAACTGTCTATGCACATGCAATTTTTTTTTTCATTTTATGAAGAGACCCACTTTCCGCATCGATAAAAAAATTGTGTGTCATAGACAAAAAAATTGTCAGTGTAAAGAATGATTCTCTTCACAAAAAAAATTGTCTGTGCGTAAACAACTTGATAGACTTGTAAAATGTTGTGTACAATTTACTAGGTACAAATAACATTTCTCTAGAGTTTATTAGTTCCTGCCAAACACTTAGTGCTTCGATATCACCATTGTAACACTTTCAAGGAGGAGATAAGAAGGTCGAAACTCTTTGTGATTCACGGATGATGACATTTAAAAAATCCCAAAAAGTTTATTATCCCAATTATTAAATGATATGGAGTACAAGTGTACAACGAACATTCGAACCGAGCAAGATTAGCTGGTCTAATCTGATCATTTCAAAAGAAAACATACAATCCTTGATTAATTCCACATCAATTACCCTTAAATGGAAATTACATACTAAAATTAATATCTAAATTCAGTTAAACGGTAGTCGGGTTAATAATCATGATGTTCAAATGGTACGTAATTAACAAGAGAGCCTATAGCATTTTAAACGTCTTATTAATTCTCTTCATTCTTTTTTTTTAATAATAATTCTCTTCATTCAGTGATCACCTATTCGTAAGACCGGCCGAGAACTTAATCCCGGTGGACGGCAACCACGACATGCCGTCAATGAAATGTTGCACGGTGAAATAAGTCGCAGTCGGCGCATTCCTGATGACGTGATAACCGGGCCATTTGATCCGCCCGGCCAACGAGGCGCCTGGCCCATAATTCCTATACTCACCATACCATAAAGTATTCAAAGCAAAATCTCCGTACCACTCCAACCAGCCTCTGGGCTGGACCATTCGGCTCATAAACGTATTGATATACACAGTCCGGGAAAATTGTTTCCAGGGCCGGCCCAAATAAGTGGGCTGGGACGCGTAGATGTAGCTGTCCTGGATCGAGAACCCGGTGCCCTGGTCTGGGCTTTTGCGGCCTTGGGCCGTGATAGTCACCTTCTGTTGTGGTAGCGGCTGCCGGGTGAAAATCCGACAGTTTTGCAGCACGGCGGCACCATTGCCGAAGATGAAGTCGATGGTGCCGTAGATGGAGCACTCCCGGAAGAATTGGCGGAGCGAGTGGGCATAGAGGGTGTCTTGGTAGCCTTCCATGCTGCAGCGGAAAAATGCCGACTGGTCAGAGTCTACTCGGAGTGCCACCGCTTGGAAGTTTTGAGGGCCGGCGGTGTTCCGGAATGTCATGTCTCTTGCTATGAATCCTTTCCCGGACACAGCTGGAACACCATTATTATGATAACAATAGTTAAGGTGCATGTTTGAATTAGTTCAGACTTCAGAACTTCACACTGATTTAAGAGAGTGGTTGTGGTTGGTTTTCGAAATGTGCTTTGTTTTAGAGATTATAAAAAGTTACGAATATTGAATAGTAAAATTGGTAATGTTTGGAAAATGATTTTAAATAATAAAAGTTGGAGCTATGTAAATGTAATAGAAACAGTGATAAAGAGTTTAAAACATAATATAACTTGATGATTACATGTTTTAGTTTTACACTACCTAGCTTTATAAAGAACAAATTGTTTGAAAACACCACATTTTTTAGTTTTTATACTCCTGTATATATCAAAGCAAAAAGTCGAACAACATATCTTAAGCAACCCTAAAATTGTACCTAAAATTTGTGGAAATATTGCTAAGGAATGCTAACCTAGAGTAAACTTTATTATTTATTTATTTTGTACAACTTTCAACTATAGTGTATTCAACATTAATCACTCTATCGTGTCGGAACAAGAGATCATAATTAGATTGAGGGGATAATGTTTTAATAAATATTTCAAAATAGAAGTAAAACATGAACATAATTTCAAGAGATATGATTAAATGTGTGTTCTGTCCAAAATATGACTTTTTAGTCTCATCAGAAGAACAAAACAATAAAAACTTCCTAAAGTAAGAGTGGATGTGTCTTATTTTAGAAAGAAATCAATGAACTTCAACTTGAGGAACTATATATGTAAGTTTTACTCATATTTAGAGATTTCTCTCTTATGTACTTGTAATTTTTTGACAAATCTTAGTTACTTACCAACTGTTGCCGTTCGAAATGTGGTCCAACCTTGCATAAAGTTTCTATTACCCGTTACAACGGTGACTCCAATACCATCCCCCACAAGCATGATGTTAGTTTTCTTCTTCTTCATATCAACATTCTCATGATATATTCCTTTCTTCACATATATCACGTACCTCCTATTACTATAACTCGGAGCAGCAAACACCGCTTGCGCTATCGACCTGTAATGTCCGCTCCCATCCAACGCCACAATTGCGTCCACATGCATCCCTATCCCCGGTTTTGAACTCACGACCATTTCCTTATCACCGTCAGTCATCCAGCTCGGGAAATCCGATCTCGAAGTTTCGTTTATTGGGGGCTTGAAAGGCAACTCACGCAACTGGACGTACAACTTTAGCACGTTGTTGATTAGTTGAGTGACTTGCGTCAAGCTCCCCTTGATAAAGCTCACTAGGCGTTTGTCGGTTCCCTCAAATCCCTCCAAGCAAGTGTCTTGATTGCTTAGAGCAGCACTCAACCATGCTTTGAGGTTCCCCTCAGAACTCGGGTTTGTGGTAGGATGCGTGGTTCGCATTTCTCTCATTTCCTTCATCGACCAAGCCAGCTCCGTGACCGAGAAGTCGAGAAGCTCTTGGCAATCTCTAATGGCTATTTGCTCTCTCGGGGAGACGGACAACGTGGTGAATTTTGACAGCGCATCCATGGCCAGCCTAACCTCATTAAGAGAGTTATGCATGGCTGCTTTGAGGATCGATGTAGTGTCGTGGTAACGGTCATTTTCTAATTTTGAGCGTATATTTTCGAGACATGATCCTCGATTTTCGACATTGTCGCAAGCCCGAGTAATCATGTCCTCGAGCGTTTGGGATTGTTGTAAGGGGATAACCACCGCATCGATCGAGGACAAGACTAAAGGGGAAGAAGGTAAAAGAATGAAAGCAAAAAGAAGAGGAAGGAAGGAATGTGGAAATGCCATTGATGGGATGAATTTGGTTTAGGGGAACGAAAATGGGAAGTAATTAGAGGGGTTGGGATAATCTATATTGCAATTTGCAAAGAAGAACTTTTAGAGCCTCAAAATAGCAAGACTAGGAAGTGTCATTTGTTACGCAAAAAACTGAGACATATTTGTTTCTTTGCTGATTTCAAGCATATTTCTAGGGGACATGCATTTGGAGATCGAATAAAACTTATAGTTCATCTTTTCATCAAAGTTGAAGTTATGCTTTCTTGTGCTGCATGACATGGTATAGACAAAACCTTGTTTCTGTTCCTGTCTTAACAAGCAAGAAGCAAATCGTTTAAAGATTTCATTTTTTATTTGTTGAACACCAAATAGACGTCCTACCCGTTTTTATATACGAAGTATAAGAAATGGGTGTCAATAGAACTACTTTAGACTGTTAGAGCTTGCTTGGTGATCCTGTTTTTCGGACATTCACCAAACACGTAACTTTTGATTTCGCACGCTGCATTGTGTAATAATAAGAAAAAGAAAGGTTGAAGTTACTTTTATAACTGTATTGACTGAAATTACTATAGAGGACCAATATAACTATTTTTTCATGCACCTTTTTTATTAATAAAATAAACTTTAAATATAATATTTTCATAAATAAGCAGAATCAGTCGATTCAGTCGATTTTGATGCTACCAAACGGGCACTTAGTATACAATAATTGCTCATTATTTCAAATAATTACCCAGTTTAGGGTTGTCTTCGTTGTCATTACTATATTTTTCATGTTTTGGATAACTTTATGATCCTTTTTTATTATCCGTTTCACATATTTTTATAAAATTTAATATTACAACACAAGACAATGATGATGGGCCATATTACGACATTGTAATTGTAATTTGTAACAATTAAATAGTGCTTTGATAATGATCACTAAAAAGTAGATTAGAAGCATTGAATATCCTTGCATACTCGATCTTGTGTACTTGCAAACATATAAGGGGGCTGGAAAACAAAAGCATGACATATTTATGAGTTATGAGGCATCTAAGAAAAGGTAGGGATAACAACAAGACAATCTCCTTGTGACTCAAGCTTGGTTTGAAATGATGATCAACTTCCAAGCAATCTATCGTTATTCCATTTACCGACATACATTAAAGAGATCATCCTCCTTTAATTACCTGAATTCTGATCCTGAAGTGTACAACCTTATAAATACATCATTTACTAATTGAAAAAAGCACTTGAACCATTTTTTTACATGTTAATACCAGTAATATTTGACTAGTAATTAATCAAAACACTGCTTAATTATACTAGTAATAATATTTGACTAGTAATATTTGACTTAGGATATTTCTTGGACTGAAATTTTTCTGGTCTGGTTTAGTCTGGTTGATGTCTGATATTTGTGTAATTTACAACTGATGAAGTCTTGTCTAGCCTGTACTGAAATAAGTCCAAAAACATTCTTAATCTCATGTTAAATTCTTAATTAACTTTTCATTATACGAAGTATTAATTTGTCATGTACATGGCTGTCTCTTGCAGACTAGCAGTTTGTGAGATACAAATGGCACCCATTAAAGACTGAAAAAGACATATTACCAAGTTGCATTATAAATATAAATAACTTCATTAATGTCACAATTGATTTGATACATAAGGTCTTAGTGAGAACTTTTAACAACATATCTATATATTAACTTCACCGACATAGGATCTAATTTTTACATATGCCCGTATAAAATAAGAAAAGTGGGGACTTTGTCAAAGGTTGGGCTCCATTCGTGTTTAGGATGTTTTTAATGGACTCAAATTTTATGGTCTGATCTATTCTGGTTTGATTTTCTAAGTGTGTGATATTTGTATATTATATGATTGTTCAAATCTAGTCTGATTTCATCTAAAACCGAAAACAGTCCAAATAAAAACATACTTAATCAGAGAACATATAATTCATCTGATCTTTCATAATGTTTGCATGTACATTTCTAATTATAGTGGATCTAATTAAACCAGTACTCCCGCACCACGGTCAAATATGAAATGATACAACAAATATAAGAAACCCATCAGCTAAAAAGCTTCTAGCTGGATTCCAACATGCATTATTAGGGGTAGGGGTGGACTTGGGCCGGTTCGGGCCTGGGCCCGGCCGGGCCTCGGTTCATGAAAGGGGAGGCCCGGAACCGGCCCGGGTAACCCCCGGGTCCGGGCCGGGCCAGGCCTCGGTTCAATTTATATATATTTTTGGCTTTTTCTAATTAACCCCCAACCCTCCCCCCTCACCCCCAAACCACATCAAATGGCCCAAAATACCCAGCCCAACCCAAAAACTTATAAAAAATTCAAAAAAAAAAAAGAAAAAAAAATAAATTGGCCCGGAGCGGGCCTGAACCGGCCGGGCCGGTTCACCTTTTGAGGGGCCCGACCCCGACCCGGAACCCCAGAGGGTCGGGCCTACCCGGACCGGTCCCTGGCCGGGCTGGCGGTTCGGGCCGGTTCAAACAGTAACCAGTTCGGGCCGGTTCCGGAGCGGGCCGCCCGGCCCGAGTCCACCCCTAATTAGGGGAACCTTAAAACTCATAAATTCATAACCGATGTCATTTCTTATGTGAGCTGAGTGAGAGCTTCTCATCGTCTGTTCAATACTTGAATAGAGGCCTTTTGGGCAGGTTCATGGTGCTTGGAATCAATCAAGTAAATTGTTCACTTTTGCATATTCCATTTTCTTGAAAAGGCAAATTTGCTACCCAAATTAGGAATTGTAGGAAATACTCTCTCTTGGCAAGTATTTTCTCAAGGTGATATGTTTGCCTCATAGAACTGCAACCACACTATCTATTATCTAAAATTCATTGAATCATTTTAACCCATTTTCTCTGATCCATTATTATTTTAAAGATTCTAGGGATGGTTTTGAATCCATCTATATACTACCTATCTTTCCAAAAAACGTGAACTTTGAGTTTCTTTATTGCTCAACAAACCAAACTAGAACTTTAGCTCAAAACTCCATAAATGGAATTCGCAGAAACCAAGTTTTATTCACACAAACCACAACACGACCCATTCACTCAAAAAACATTTCCCACAGCTTTACTTTACTGCTGCAAAATGCCTCTTCAATGTAAAAGCTGACGAGGCATCTGCCGAAGTCTTGAAAGTTAATTTAGCTTATAATTCCACACTTGTACAAGTTATCGCCTCCTTCAGCCTGATAATTTGACAATGGAAGAGCAGAATGACTCGAGACATTATATATGTCTTGTGAGCCCATCACGGCCTTAGCATGCCAGTACCAAGGCCGAACATGAGGCGAATAGACAGAAGGAGAGAATGAAGACAAATAAAAAGATGAAGGGTGGATGATGACAGAGCCCCAATCTCTCTTCCCCAACTTTGCCTCATTTATTCTCTTCCTGATCAGCAGCCTCCCGACATCTTCCTTCCTTATTTCGGAAACACTTTTGGCTATTGATATGCATAAAAGAAGTAGCAACACTGCATCTTCTTCCGGTGAAAACTCAAGGGTCAGAAGCCTCCAGTTTAGAAGTGCAGTGGCTTTTCCTGTTGGATTATCCTCCGAGAATCTAACTACAGTCAAAAAGCCGTCTTCCTCTTCATCGTACACTTCCTGTGTAACAGGTTTTTCTGAATGGTCTGCTCCTTCAGTGATTGTATCAGTCTTCATCACCTCATACTCCATTTTCCTCCCTTCAAGCAACTTTACCTGCAGCCATATTCTTGTTATAACTTGGAGATTCTATCCCCAAACATTTAATAATGGAAGTAAACCAAAAGGTACTGGCATGCTAAGATGTTGGTTCAATGTTTATATTTCTTTGATGTAAATACCATAACATACCGTTGCATATGGAGATTGTTGGTCTGTTTTGAGACAAAAAGTGAATTGAAAATCCTGGTTTGGTGATCCCTTTTGTACTAACAGCTCATCACCTGTAGAAAAGTTCCATAAAGCATGTGATCCATCTGGTGGTTCCTTTGGCGTAGCAATCCCTACAATTTTCTCTGCACTAGATGCGGTATAAACAGAACGCGCTCAATATGTAAGTCAAAATTCTGAACATAAATAGAACACATAAAACTGTAGCATTCATCATTTTCATACCTGGAACTCTACCAATGGAACCGGCAAAATAGGACCAACAACCTTCACGCACTTCCAAAATCCTATCTTCCCATTTCACAGCAGAAGGTTTTTCCGCACCTCTCCTCCAAAACCCTTCCCCAATTCTACCATTGATGTTAAGAAGTTTCATAAGGAAAAAATCAAAAGATACTTGGGACTAAAAACTGTTAAGAATCAGTCCCATTTGGAAACATTAAATTGAGACAAAAAGATATACAAAAGAATTCAGGATTGGGTTGAATCACTCAACCAGACACGTGGGCCAAATTGAATACATCAATACATGATCATTTTGAATGTCTTGTTAAGATTTAAGACTATTCTCTCTATAATGTTTATGATGTACAAACAAAATGGGTCCAAACTCTTGGGACTACGCCTTGGATGTTGGTGTTGTTGTTGACAAACAAAATGGGTCAAAAGCTGCTTTGATACCAAATAATTCAGGAATGAATTAAGGTCACAGACCACAAGACAATTGGGCAAAATCATACTAGAACATTGAACTCAATCTATTAGTTAGTTTGTCTAATTGAAACATCATTCACTCTTTTTTGCCACCCATGTTTAATTTAGTTTGCGTGTAATTTAAAAAGAGATAACACACATAGCCAAATGATGTATTCTATTTTACATGTAAACTATTTTACTGCCCTAAACTTTACATGCAATCATTTTACATGTAAAGTTTTAATAAGTAAACTACCAAACAGGCTCTAAATGTAATTGATATGTACCTCATTCGAATGACGAAACACTCCCTGCCCGCATGATCTAAAACCGTACGTGACAACCATCTACCTTCTTGGGGCCTGTAGCGGTTCATCCTCAAAATAACATCTGATATCATTGCACCTGAATCATCCGTAACTCGATCTGGGACACATTTCAATAAGTAAGGTGCCTGAGCTGGTGGAGTGATTGATGCAGCTACCCATATATTCTGATCAAATTCTCTTATCAGCGCAAGACCGGGTGAACGTAACAAATCGTTCCAAAGAAACATTACACCGCCTTCTGTCAGCCTACTTCCCCCCAGGATGCAGCATGAGCCACGACTGCGTTTACGAAGCTCAAGAGTTGTCCCTTTGGTTCCAAATTCGCAGTAGAGATGGCCGGCTTTCTGCCACGTGTCTGCGGTGAAGTTAGATATGGGTATATCCAGTTTTAGCTCTTTGTGGCATCTTACACATCCAACCCGTAGAAACTCGTCCGTTATGTCCAACTGTGGTGATGTAGTCCTTAGTTTCACCATTATGCAGAGCTGCACAATACAACAAGATATCCCATTAGTCAGTCCTTGACATTTGGAAATTGTAAATGCAAATTAGAAAAAGTGCCATCTTGGTCAGATTGTTTTGCGGCTTATCAGAAGATAGTCTTACTATATAATGAAATAGAATTGTAAACTTTTCTTTTGCAAAAAAAAAAAAAAGAATTGTAAACTTTTTCCTGCACAATTTGCTAGCTACTGGCACAATAATGTCCACTTGGAGTCTGGGACATTATTGCTCACAATTTAACCTTTTAGAGAGAGGGAGAGAGAGTTTGTGGAGGAATTGTAATGTCCCAGTGTTTGCAATATGTTTGACTTTACTTGCTGAGACATTACTAGCTAGTTCTCTCATAATGTTTACATGTAAGCTTTTGACCACAACAGACCTAATTATGTTTCAATTCTCTAATAATGAGACTGAGCAAAAGAGTCATACTGTTATAACAACATCACATTACGAAAGATCTAACGAGAGACCAAGAGGACTTCGTCCCCTAAGCATGCTTTGAACTCAGGCTTCTTAGGAAGAAGGGGATGGGTAAATCTAGGGGTGGGCAAACGGGTCTTGGAACCGCGGTCCGGTTCGGGTAATGGCGGTTCGGGTCCAAAACGGGCCGGTTCCATTTTTTGTTCCCATAAAACGGTCCGGGTAGGGTCGGGTAATTTTTTTTAAGGAACCGGACCGGTTCCAAAATTAAAAAATAACGGGTACCCGACCCGGCCCGTTATATATATTGTATATTAATTTATTAATTGTTTTGTGATAATCGGTTTTGAAATAGTTTTGTTTCCTTTGCTAGAAGTAGGATTTTAAATTGAGTTGCAGTAACATCTTTTTGTTTTCAAATTATTGATTAAATGTTTCATAAATATCTTATTACTTTTTATTGTTATTGAATTATTCCTTTCTATGGAATTTAATTATTTGTTAAAGATGATTTTATTATATTTTTTTTATTATATTGTTATTAAAATATATAAATTGTGTTTACCACCCACCATGTATGTCTCAACTTTGGCTAATACTGAAAATTGAATATAAAAAAAAGCAATCACTTTAATATGTGATGTTAGACAACATGTTTAAATACAAATGTTAGAAAATATGTATTTTGGCTATGTTGCATATTTTTGGAATTTATTTAATTGTTTGAAACTTATATACAAGAAATTATGGAGTATTGGACTTTTCGCTTGTGTTATATGTGCACCACTATGTTGTTATTTTGAAACTTGCTAATGTCCTATATTATTGATTATTGATTTTTGGAACTTCGTGAATTTTAACTAATTTCAAGACATGAGAATAGAAACCGTAAAACCCGGACCGGACCGACCCGTTTCAAACGGGCCGGGTAATTTCCGGTTCCTATTTTAAAAATTGTAATACCCGGACCGGACCGAACCGTACAATGGAACCGACGGTTCCATTTTATTTTGCATTACCCGCCCCGACCCGGCCCGTGCCCAGCCCTAGGTAAATCATCACACTAAACCCACTAGGCCATTTGGTTTACTTTCTATTCTCTAGTGAATGGTGGGAATGCGAAGATCAAACTGACCTCGAGTAAGAATCTGGGCAGCATGGACTTGTATTTGGCGTTGACATCGGTCTTAGTAACTTCCCATTGCATAAGTGGCTTGACCAACTTATCTATATCCCTTCCAATGAATGTGGTGGCACCACCAGCTTTCTCATATGGTTGCTCAAATATTCTCTCCCAAAGTTTCTTCGTTTCTTCTATCTCTAGTTCCTTTACAACCTTCCATGTGCCGACTAATTTGCTAAGTTCCTCCTCTAACTCCTTGGTATCAAATGCATACACTGTTGGATAGCTCTGTTAGATAAAATCAGAAGACTGTCAATCCAAACTATATATGGTTCTAGCCTCTAGGAGTTCAAAATTTTGATTTCTTACACAAACAAATTACGTAGAATTAACACATTCACAAATTTTCCCTTTTCCTCGAGAAACAGCGTACCAAAAAAGGAGGCAAATACATTCTCTTTGTCAATAAACACATAAGTAAAGCCAGAATAAAAAAGACATCCAACCCAGCACAAACACCTTTGGCTGTAAGAATGTGGAGTCATAAACTATGTTACATAGTAATATGTAATTCTCCCTATTTAATCTTCATGTTGGGGTTTCAAAGTAAAACCATATCATCTTTGACTTTTAATAGTTGCAAGACTTTCACTTTCAGTAAGTTTTACCTTGTTTTTCATCTTCGCTTTCCCACTTTTCTACTTTTTCATCATCTCTTCCATGCCTTTTCATTATTTTCTTTGACTTTCCACACTTTTTCTACACTATGCACTAACCTAATATTTCACCTTGTTGTATATATTTAAATACGAGGGAGTATGATTTATGAATAATTAATGATCAATATGACATTGAAAAGTCAATACATAAATGATTAAATAGAGACGTGATGATTGCTTTGTGTGTATAAACAAAGACGCACAATATAACACATGATATACACATACTAACATTAAAAAGAAATTTTAAAATAAAAATATTACTATTATTTATTAATAAAAGAACATGACAGTGGTATGTATTAATGTATTCAATTGTTGAGACCCCACTAATAAATAAACTAGGTCAACTCTAACATAACTGATCTGTCATCAGATATTAGATAATTACATTATCTTTTTGCCAGATCAGGCCTTTCAACAACACATTAAGAATATTTGTTTATTAATCTGATTGAATTATAAATTCTCAAAGATGGACCCCCCACCCAGCCACCTCCTATCCTCCGTTACATTCTTGGAACATGATAATCTGGGATGGAGAAGAAAATAATTTTCTTTCAACTCTTAAGGGGGATTCTTCCTTAAAGTTTACCAGATAGAATAGAGTTTTTGATCGACAAGGGAACGTGGGCTCCTATCGATGAAGACATTCTTTCTCAGTGAAGAAACCTCAGAATAAAGAAATACCAATTTGACAAAAATGTTAATTTTATACATTTTAGAGGAAAAAAAATATTTACAATCCAGTTACTGATCTTCACTTGCGTATTGCTACAGTGATAATAGATCATTGCCAGCTGATTGTAAGAAACTGAATTGATATTAAAATGAATGTTTTTGTTCAAGGGTAGTTCTTATCACATATTTTTGGAATTTGTCAATATTTAGAATTAAGGGAATTATAAATTTATAATGAACAATGATTATAGAAAATCAATAGTAATGCATGAAAAGAATAGAACTGGAGTACCTGATGGATCAACCACATCAAGAGAATATCTGAAGTTGGCACTAATCTGGAGCTTTTATGAGCAAACCTATGCAACATATACAGAAACCTTTTATACCGTTGCCTTGCTGCTATCAAATATACAATCTCACAGTAATACGGCTCGGTGAATTTAGTGTACAAAAATCTCTGCTTGGACACTTCCTCCATCAGATCTTCCTGAACACTGGAAATTGGCCTTTCCGAATCACATTCATTCTCAAAAGGCTCATCTGGGTACCTACTAAGCCAAAATTCTCTGCATCTTTTCAATGCATAATCTCTAATTTCTTCACTAAATATGGCTGCCTTTCCAATGAGTTTTGAGAACTTTGACTCGCAATATTTCCTATAGTTAGCCTGAAATCAGGTTTGCTATAAAACAATGAGAACATTCAAATAACACTCTTGAACAATCAAATACAATTCTCCTATTAGAGCTTCACACATTAAAAAAATATAAAAATACAAACCACATAACTTGTTGACTTTTTATAGTGAAATATTACAGATCAAGTCTGAATATTGAGTAATCCAACATCTATAATAATCAATGCTTGTGCCGAAGACTGTATGGTATAACAGCATCCAAAATGGAAGACACAAGTTGGAATTACATATCAATCAAGGTTAACATTACTATTGAACCTATAATAAAAATAGGGTAGAGTGTTTACCCTAATAAAAATTAGTCTGCCATGGACCTAGTGTAAAAGGTATATCCAAAGTTCCAATCCCGTATTAATCGTTAGTTTTGTGTGGGAAAAACTACCAAAGCGAAAGTTGGGAAAGTTGTAGGCTTTATAATCACCAGCTTATAATATATTAGTTTAAGGTCTAATTAACTTGCTTTGTATGGGTTAATCGGTTCATCCCTTTCTTATCAGAAGATTTCACCAGTAGAACTAAAGAATAACACATTCAATAAAAAATAAACATCTTTCTTGTATTCATAAAACACAATTCAATCAATCTCATAAAAAGAATAATTCATTACTCATTTTCTTGTTGCGTATTAGATTAGAACCAAATGAATCCTTTAATGAAAAAACATTAACTCTTGTTTATGCATATAATCAATGATTTACTCCTAATTATAGAAATTCTCTTTCGTTATTCATTTTTCATTTCATACACCAAGAGATAGGTAAATTAAGATTTCATTGTTCTGAGGAGTGTAATTTAGACTTTTCTTAAAACTATACATGATAAAGTTTCCATTTTTTTAAAAGTCAATCAAATGCAGATAAATAAAGAAATTTGAGATTTTGGCACAACTTACAGGGTTTAATGAGTGACAGAGCCAAACCCATTCAATATCAGGTGGAGGGAGAATCATAGGAGGTGTCAATCCATTAGTAGTAAGGTCAGATATCAAGGGCATCCATAGCTCATCATATCTGCAAAAACATAATTAATCACCACTATAAAATGTCCTAGAAGAAAGTAGAATCCCAGAAAATCCAAACCAAGATGAAAACCTTCTGATGGATTCAAGAAGGGCAGGAGTTTGGTGGAGGCAGAGAGATTCTGCCATGAGTTTCAGGAATGAAAGATTCCTCCTAGCAGCAGCTACAAGATCCACAGAGATTGTGACTGTTTCCTCCTCTGGTATCTCACTTATTAGGCTCTTCATAGAAGCAGCTCTTTGATGACAAGCTGACATTCTCAGCTTATAATTCTGAGACACTATATTCAGTTTTATGTTGGTATATATGTATATGCCTTGGAACTTGTCCAGCAATTTGAAGAATCCATTGAAGATGGGGGGATGAGGAATAGCTTCAAGTGTGATGGGGAAGCTTTATTTTATGATTCTGCAGGGTAGAACTGGAACAGTTGCTGCCTGTTCCTTAAGACAGGGAGAATTTCGAAAGTACTTTAAAGAAGTGGTTTGTGGAGTGCTTTTTGAAAACATTTATGCTCTTTGAGGGAGATTGCGTTCGAGTCAAATCGGAGACACGCTTCTAACCACTTTTAATGGCTCTTCACTCTTCAGAATTTCTCATAACATTATTGTACTCCCTCCCCAAATTTGATAGACACTTTGTTTGATCTTTACATTAAGAAAATGATACCACGTATTCCGTATAAAGCATCAAATGTATCCCTGAATTTTATAGATATATAGATGTAAGTAAATTGAGTTTTTATCACTTTTGGTTCTCCGACTATTATGTCGTTGACATTTTTATTACCCGACTTTGATTTTTGTCACTTTTAGTCCTCCACTATTGTGTTAGAGACACTTTTGGTATTCATCTTTGAAAATTTTCATGTTCAGTCTTTCGACTTTCATAAAAGTGACACTTTTGGTCTTTCAACTTTTATATTATGATATTTTTAATCCTCCATTTATTGTGTCAAAATCATAGTGAAAGGACTAAAAATATCAATTTGATAATATCCAGGAGATTAAATGTGGGAAACTTTTAAGTTGAGGACTAGAAGTGTCTCTAACACAATAGTTGTAGACTAAAAATGAAAAAGTTAAAAATTGAGCATCAAAAGTGTAACTGACACAATAGTCGGAGGACAAAAATGAAATAAAAACTCAACTAAATAAAAGGTAAAGTATAAAGTATAAACGATACTCGGCATGTAAGATCATTTGTATATAAAACCTCTAGTTTGAGACAATCCAAGAAGAGGTATATATTATTATGAGATAGGTGTGTAATTGTGTTTCTAATAAATTGATTCTGAAATGTTAGATATCCATTTCTCAATTCATACATCTCGATATAATTGTAAATAAATATACATATAAATTTTGGTGTGCATATAACTATAAGTGTGGCTAGAATTAATGAATTATAAATTACTTTTTGTTTTCTTCTCTTTATAAAAATATCTCTGTAAAATCATGTTGTTTTTCTTTTTGGCCTCTCATTGATATACTAGAGCAGTGGAGTATATATTATCGATGGAACTTTTTTTTTTTTTGCAATGATCCAAAAATTGAATATACATGTAGACTAAAAATTGATACGAAGTATAAAGTTTACCATTTTTTTATATACAAGTATTTAAACTCATAAATTATCATACATTTACAGATGTTTCTCCTTTAACCTTTTCGTGTAGTTGACTCATTAGTCTACCGTATTCTAGCCTAGCTGGATTATTATTATTAGGACCTGAAAATCAAAATTTACTCTAATCATCATGATCATGGTATTTGAGTTTATCCTGAATTAAGACCTCAATCACGGTGTTCCCTTCTCACATTAAATACTCTCAATCATTATGTTATTTAGAGCCTGTGGCTCTTTTTTCGGCTTATTTGGCTTATCAACTAATTTTTAACCAAACACGTAACTTTTGATTTCACGCGCTGAATTATGTAATAATAAGAAAAAGTACAGTTAGAATTTTTCTAGCTGTATTGACTGAAGTTAATGTAGATGACTACTTTAATTATTTTTTCATATAAATTTTCTTTATTTTATTAATAAAATATATTTTAAATATAATTTATTCATAAATCAACAAAATCAGCCAATACAGCCATTTCAGCTAGAAATTCATAAATTTTAGTAAAATCAGCCGATTTAGCCGATTTCAATATTACCAAACAGATTCTTAATATTTTTCTCAAATTAAAGTACTTTCAAATTTGGTTTTGGCCTTTGAAAAGTAAAATAAACGATAAATATATATATCTCCTCGTAGTTTTTGCATAAGTTTGGTTTTGGCCTTTGCCGGACAATTTATACCGTACACCCGAGTGTACGTACACCCGGTATATTTGTAATTATTTGCTGATTCTTCCGGCCGTGTGTTCTTCCCTGCTTGCCTGGGTAAGTGGACTACGCCTCTTTAGTCTAGCCGGCCAACTTAATTCTTCGTAACTTCTAAGTGGACTGCGTGAGTGGAGGGAGCACTACCTCTCTTTTCTTTTGCCTTTTACATAGATTTTTTTGTTTCTTTTTCCTTTTTTTTCAAGTCCTTTTCCCTTTTTTTAACCACCTTATTCATTGATTTCAAATTTTCAATTTCGAATATTTAAAGTATTATTTTATTATTTTTCTTTATTAATTTAAGAAGAATATTTATTAGTTTATTAAATATTAATTCGTATGTTCTAATTACTAACATGAGTTTCGTGTTATACTAAAATGAGTATAGTGTAAAATAAATATGTTTTTCATTATGATGCATGTGCAAAAGTGAACATTTAAGCACATTAGAGAATTCAAATGAGTTTTTGAACTTTTTTATGCTCATTTTATAAGTTACGCATGTTCATCTGAAACTAGTTTTGTGCTCATTTCATAATGTCATATTAATGTATATTTCAAAAGTTTCATATTAGATTGACATGGGGGCATAGATCATGATACTAAATTCCATGCTTCTAATACTCAATAGAAGAGGTTTGATGTTTAATGAAAATGTCTTGATGCTCAAATAACAAAGTTTATGATTTTCATATTATTACTCATTTGGTACATTTTGTGTGCTCATTTGGTACTTGATTTATGCTCATTTTAAAATGTTAATTATATCAATGCATACTAGATTGAGCACATGCCTTGATACTCGATTACATGTTTCTAATATTCAAGGAAGAGATTTGATGCTAAGAGCAACTCCAATGCTATGGTGTTAACACTAAAAAAATTGGGCACGTCATATGGTATGAAAGTGTTTCTTTTTTCACCCGCTCCAATGCTTTCTGTCTTAGATCATCTGTTGCTGAGGTGTCAAAAAAATAATTTAACAGTGTGAAGCCCACTTTCGGATTGTAGAAAGCCAGTCAAACAGTCTGTTATGAAGGAATGAGTGGAATTGATTTACGGAGGAGGAGAATAGTGAACGAATTTCTCGTGAGATTAGTTATAGAAGATAGGAATGATAATTAAATGTCAATTAAATAAATTCATTGGACAAAAAATATGGCCATCGACACCAATGCACTGGAGAGGTCTTTGAGAAATTCACTTTTTGGACTTTGAAACTAATCTCACGTGGATACACATTGTATTAATCTATTGACATATGTCACAATTTTTCAATGTTAAAAGATCTACCATTGGAGATGCTCTAATGTCTTGATCCTCAATTAAAAAAACTTATGATTTTCATATCAATGCTCATTTTGTAAGTTACATATGCTCAATTTATACTCATATATGCTCATTTTTAGAATGTCATATCAATGTATATTTCAAATGTACTATATTACATTATATTCACATATTGAAGTTTCACAGGAGTTGATTATAGATATAATTTAATAATTATGATAAAAGAAAAAATAAGAAAAAGAAAGTGAATATAAGATATGAAGCAGAGATCTCGATGCTCAATATCAGACTCTTAATACTCAACAGAATTGGTCAGATGCTCTGTAAAAGTTCATTAATGCTCATTTAATAGAAACCATGAATGTCATGATTTTCAACTAACAAACTTTACAGTTTTCATATCAATACACATTGTGTAAGTCACATAATCTCATTTGGTATTGATTTTATGCTCATATGTAAAACGTCATATCAATGCATATTTAAAAAGTGTCATATTACATTACATTCGCATGTCACGATTTCTGGTGAATGAGCGTTGATGCAATTTTAATGAGCATCAAACCTATTATGTTGAGTATTAGGAGTCTAATTATTTTGAGATATGCATTGATAAAACATTTTAAATTGAGCATAACACCAATACAAAATGAGCATACATTACTTACCAAATGAGCAATGATATGAAAATCATAAGCTTGATTAGTTAAACATCAAGACATTTTCATTTAACATCAAACCTCCTTTATTGAGTATAAAAACATGCAATTGCGTATCATGATTATCTTTACTTCCATGTATATAATTTAAATCTTATGCGAACCTAATATGATAATTTTGAAATATGAATTAATATGACATTTTAAAATGAGCATAAAATCAGCACCAAATGAGCATACATAACTTACAAAATGTGCATCGAAAATCAAAAGCTTGTTTGAATTTCCTAATGTGTTCAAATGTTCATTTGTGCACACATGATGGCAATGAAATAATTTATATAAAAAATAATTTATAGTCGTTTGTTCTCGAATTACAAATATAATCGAGTTCTTTTAATAATTATTTACTCATGCATACTTATTTCACCATACTCATTTTAGTATAACACAAAACTCACGTTTGTAACTATCACACAATATTTTTTTAAACTAATAAATATTCATCTTAAATTAAAAATAGAGAAATAAAACATTGATAAATAAAATATTTTATAATAGATAAATAAAAACTTAAGCTGGAAGTTTGATTGGAGAAAGAAAAAAATAATCTGAAATATTTAATAATATTTTATATTTTACATTTTCATAATAATTGAATATAATATTAAAATAGAAGATGGTTAAAATAAAAAAAGAGAACAAACAATAAAAGAAAACAAAAGAAGAAACGAGAATTGAATAAGCAAAAAAAAACAATAAATGAAGACGTGCATGAACTTGCTGGGATTGAGTGGAGTATGGCTGGATAAGGAAACATTTCAGCCTACTAATTACAAAAAAAACCGGATGTACCTGTACATCCGGGTGTAGGATATACGAACTCCCTTTGCTGCCACACTTCAATATCTTACTTTTACTCGATCGGACATTATCTCTTACGGTGTTCAATAAATCTGCTCGCACATGCATGATACATTAAGGGAGGGTTTGTTACTGCTTCTGCTTAAAAAAACACTTTTGGAGATGTAAAGAAAAAGTGATTAGTGGTAAAAGTTGATAGTGTTTGAGAAAAACGTGATTTTGAAAAGTAAAAGTTGGTAGTGTTTGGTAAAATACGTGTTTTTTGTGTCATAGAAAAGGGAAAAACACTTTTCACACGCAAGCCGAGAAAAAGTAAAAATTGGTAGTGTTTGATAAATAACTGCGTTTTAAGCCAAAAGCTGAGAAGTGCTTT